AAGCCATAAACCTTATTCACGCCTGGTTTTTGACGTTCATAACACAAATTGATAAGATGGCGACGTCATATGAATGAATAGTCAATTTGACGTCATTAGCAAGAAAATAGGTTTAAAACTGCCCTTTCTAGGACATATGTGAAGGTAAAAGTCATCTGAAAGTGTCATTAAAAATGTGAATCAATTTCGAATTTAATGATGTAAAATATGATTAATTTTGAGTTCGTGGGATTGGAGATTTTATGCAGTGACATAACGTTACCTTTTCAAGGTTTGCGTTATGAGCCTCGTTCTGGATTCAATATGGCCGACTTGTGAATAAGGTCTGTTACATGTTGACACATTTGGCTGCCATTGTTACCACAATCTAGCACCATCCACTCCACTGAACACCATAACTTGTCTATTGGTACCTTTAAACTTTGTATCTAAAATAAATGACTGATTGATGTTGAGAGAGCTTGGTGTAACTAGGACCCTAAAGCTGTCTGACCCTGGACTATAAATCAGGAACAATGTTCTATCTAACAGAACCTCACATTATCAATATAAACATGTGACTTATTGACCAACAATATCAAAGAATTTTAGAGTTTTAAGAGCCATTATTACTTTGTTTGATTTGTGGGCTCATTATTGGAACTGGTAGACTCTGGGGTGTATCAGGGGGTAGGATATCAAAGACTCATCACCAACTAGGGGTAAATAATGTCTCTATGTATAAAGGGTCTGTTTGAGGGGTCCAGTCATTAGGCAATAAGGGATAAAAGGGCTATGATGAGGGTAGGGATAATTAAAACTATAGAAATAAAGGGGTTCTATGAACTTTTGGGGTAATTAAAAACTCCATAAATTACTAGTATTGAGGGGGTAAGGTCATTAAGGGTTTAAAACAAAAGGGGCTTGGTATTTTGGGACATTATGGGGCCAGGGAGGGGGTGAATGATTATATTATATAAAAGAAAAGTAAGAATTAAAGACATTATGAAGAAAGGGGGCAGTATGGCTGAAATGTTGGTATTATGATACAATATAAGACACAGTAATTAAATTTAATGATGATTACTTTTCAAAAAGGGGTGGGGTGGGGATAACAATTGTTCTAAATTATAATGACCTGAATTTTAGAGGGTAGGAAAAGAAGGGACAACATATATTTAGTATTTTGACTAATTTTAGTGAAAATTGTAATATTTTGATACAAGATAAGACACAATAATTAGAATTAATGATGATTACTATAAAAAGAGGTGGGGTGGGGCATAACAAATTTTAATGACCCTAATTTTAGAGAGTAGGAGAAAGGGGTAAATTTTTTAGTATTTTAATGAATACTGGCAGAATTTAGTTTATCTATTATGATAAATTAACATGGTAAAAGAGGATGGGGTGGGGAATCAAAATTAAAGTTAAATGCTAATGATCATGAATTTTAGTCTAGGGGAGGAGTATTGATAAAGGGGTAACATATTTAGTTGAAGATGAATTTAGTATTGTTTGAAATAAGAGATAGACATAGCAATTAGAATTGATGATAACTTCTTTTAAAAATGTTGGTGGGGTGGGGAAAAGGGCATATCAATGAAAGTTAATGATAATGACATGCCTGGAAGGAATGAAGGGGGTGGGGGGATTGTCTCCAAGACAAAATTAATGAAAGGTAAATTTTTAAAAAGGTTTTGGGATGGGGAAGGCAATTAAACTAAAATTTAAAAGCTTTTGAAATGATAAAAATAGTTTAATTGAATATAATGTTTTTACCATCCATGTTAAATAGGAAAATGCTCTAGAAACTTGGTCTTTTTGTTGAAATTGGCCGAATTTATTAGTGGATGGGAAAGATTTTGATATTTCTATGAATTTTTGAAAATTCTTTGTATGGTAAATCTCATACACAAGCACCCC